GTTCTGGGGGAGGGTGACGCCAACCTCTACCTCCCACTGATCTGCTGGCTGCCGCGGCACATCACCAGGCGGCACTGTTGCAATGCGGCTAATTGGGGCGATCGGCCAGTCAAAGGTCCAAAAGCGACTTTGTCCACACCAGCGTGGAGCAGAAAAGGAAAGAAACAACGAAGACGTAAACGCGTTGAAGTGGTGCGGGGCAGCCGGCACTTTGTTCCACAGACGTTCCTGAAGGAGGGAGAACGTTGCTTCTTATTGAACGTTGGCCACAGAGAGACAGGAAGTGAGCTCAGTGCCTTTAGACACAGGATGTGCTGAGGCCTGCGAGCTGAAATGCCGTCCTCCACCCGGCGACAGCTGCAGCGCCCACGCGGCGCTCTGTAGATCCTCCTTCACTCTGCCCCCCCCCCTCCCCCATCACACACTCGCAGTCGTGGTTCTACTGTAGAGTTGTCGAGCTGTCGCTCTCTCTCCCCCCCCCCCGTGTGTGTGATCATCCTTTCCTCCACCTGAAGTGGTTTTCTCCCCCCTCTTATCTGTTGTTTGGCTTTTTCTGCGTCCTCTCTGTCGGGGTTGAAAAATACGAACCACCCCCCCTCAAAACCCCCCCCCCCTATAGAGGAAACTTCGCTGGGATATGTGAGCCGATTTGCTATGATTTCTCTTGTTTTTGCATCTGGCTAACGTTGACTTGGTGGTGTCAACGCGACCGCTAACCGAGGCTAAGCTAACTCAAAGCTAACGTTGGCGTGTGGAGTTGTTACAAGCAGTACAGACCTATCATAGAAAATAACCGCCATGCACATTGCTGCGCATTTATGTAACGCAGTTGCATTTGATTTAATTTGATAATCCACATATAGATAATGTGATCTGTTTAAATGTATTTTCCATCATGGGGTTCTTGCTGCTGTAGTTTTTCCTCCTAAATACTCCACACTGGCACTGCAGCACACAGCTGGGATCGACCTCCTTTAACCTCTACTGAAGGCTTATTCGTGGTGGATTCATTTTCGTGCACGTACTTACACGTCTGTGTGTGTATGTGTGTGTCTGCACGCTTTTGGGTAAAACCTGCACATATGGGCTGGTGATGTTCATTCTACCCGTACTGGAAGTAGAGCAAAGCACAGTAATGTCTTTCATACTGTCAATTCACTTTTACTGCAAAAGTGGTTAAATTGACAGAAATTGTGACACAAAAATAACGCTCATAAAGTAGAAAATTTTGAGCAGATTTTAGTTTCATTATTAAAAGATAATTTTATAATGAAACAAACTTCTCTTGTCCCAAAACTTATTTTTTAGAAGACGCCAGTGTTCTGATTTACCTAACAGAGCCTGAAGGCATCACATTGTAACCCAATGGAGCCTCCGGATGTTTAGCCGTTAGCTCAGGCGGCGCTAACGTGACTAGCTACAAGGACCAACAACAAAACTGTGATTAATCCACGGTAAAGAATGTATTTATTTATTTTGGGTGACTTCAATCAGGGTTTGCTGCAATGGTGTGCGTGTGTGTGTGTGTGTGTGTGTGTGTGCATGCGTGTGTGTGTGTGTGTGCGCGTGACTAGCTGTGCTTTGTTCTGCCTCTTAACGGATCTCATCGGACTCATGAACCCTTTTCGTGTGTTGTATTCACGCGCCTGCCCCTCTGCCCTCTTTCCGCAAACCGCCCCCGCTCTGCTATTCGTTGCCGTGGTTACAGGGCAGCCCTGGCTTCTGCACACCAGGCCCAGCCCCTCCCCCAGACCCTCAGCGTTCTGGAGAGCACCCCCCAGGTCCGGGGCATGCACACCATCATCAGGTACGATTTTTCCAGGCAAAAGAAGATCGCGCCGAACGACTGCGACCTCAGTCATTTAACGTGTTCACCCCCCCCTCTGCCCCCCTCCTTCACCCCACCACATGTAGAAACAAGGAAACAAGCCGCGACGAGTTCATCTTCTACTCCAAGAGGTTGATGCGCCTCCTGATCGAGCGGGCGCTCTCCTTCCTCCCCTCCCAGGTGACCCCCCCCCCCTCCTGCTCAGTAACCCTTTGTTTTAAGAGTCAGAAGGTAGTCAGACCCACCGCGGTGGAAAGTTTCTATTCCTGAAGCGTCAGACACACACACGGGACTGAAGGTGGGATTGACTGCAGCGTCATTAGCCTCATGGTTGTGGTTTTTAATACCATCTCAGGTCCACGCCGTGCAGACCCCCCAGGGGGAGGATTATGAAGGCAGGACTTTCCACGGGAAGAGGGTGAGCGAGCTCCATTTGCTCCCCGCCGGCTTCCTCCCTGCAAACAGATGCAATTAACCTCCGCTCAGTCATTTTGTTGATGATGATAATGTTGTTGTTGTTGTTGTTTTTCCTTCTCTTCAGATCACAGGCGTGTCCATCCTGCGAGCCGGCGAGACCATGGAGCCGGCTCTGAGGGCCGTGTGCAAAGACGTCCGCATCGGCAAGATCCTCATCCAGACCAACCAGGACACGGGAGAGCCGGAGGTTAGTTTACCACACGCAGTCCTTCGGGTCACTTCACACGCCTGAGACGTAGCTACGCAATGCTAGCGCTCATGTACGTAGCATGCTGCCGTTGAACCGCTTGCTGTCTCTGAACGTTTCCAGCTTCACTACCTGCGTCTCCCCAAAGACATCGGCGAAGACCACGTGATCCTGATGGACTGCACCGTGTCCACGGGAGCCGCCGCCATGATGGCCGTGCGAGTGCTGCTGGTGGGTGTGTTTGTCCACGAGCAGACCAAGGCCCGTAGCGGTTCCCTGCTCATGTGCGTGTCTTGTTTCGTCATATCCAGGACCATGACGTTCAGGAGGACAAGATCCTGCTGGTGTCCCTGCTGATGGCGGAGATGGGGGTGCACTCGGTGGCCTACGCGTTCCCACAGGTCAAAATCATCACCACAGCTGTGGACAAGAAGGTCAACGACCTGTTCCACATCATACCCGGCATCGGTGAGTAATCCGGGAGCTACTCGTTAGCAGCTAATACATACGATGTTGCTAACGAGAAGACGAGTAGATGCCTGTTTAAAATGAAATGGGTTGCAGCCATTGGGTCAGATGGTCCAACCGCAGGTGAAGAGGTTGCAACCATGAGGAGGAAGAGGAAGAACCAATGGAAATGCTAGGATTTTTTTTCCAAACTAGAGTAAATGACGAAACGTGACATATATATTTTTTGAGCATGACTTTCTGCATATCAGATGTAGAGAAGCTGCAGTTTGTGTCCTCAGTGGGCGGCGTCCCCGCCGAGTCTCCTCCCCCAGCGGCACATCGGGACTGTCATTGTTTAACTTGGTCTTGACTGACGCCCGTCTACTTTTGGCTCCCGTAGGAAACTTCGGGGATCGATACTTCGGGACCGACGCGCCGCCCGACTGGAGCGACGAGGAGATGGACGAGCCCAGTTACTGATGGAAGCGGCGCCATCGGCCTCAGGGCTCCGCCCCCCTCGGAGGGGGACACCAGGACGCGCTGCGCTCCGAGAAACGAGGAGTCCGCCGGAAACAAAGACACCGCTAACGCAAAGTTCACTATTTAATCTCAAGGAAAGAACAGCCTGGAGAAAGTTTTATGAAGTATGAAATGGTTTTATATGTACAGTATGTTGTTAAGTCCAATTTCACGTTATCATTTGAATTGAGGCCATCTGACATTTGACCTCGTGTTGCTCGGAGAAGACGAAGCCGACACGAATGAATGTGAGTCTGAGCGCAGCAGAAGACGTCAAGCTTTAAAGTTTTTTTTGTTTTTTTCTTTTCTTTTTTTCACCACATACACCTTCTTCACAAACTTCACTAAAGTAAAAATCAGAACGTGAACTTGCGTTGCTCAACTTCCATCGCCACGAGCGCTTTCTGAAGGGCCGCTCGATCGGAAAACGTGTGGGTGTATCCGTCTTTGTTTCGCTCTCTGGTTTAGCCTCTTCCTTTTGGTGGATGCTGACCTAACCGGTTCAAACCGGTGCTGAAAACCGTCTCTTCATTATGCAGCTCAAAGTATGCACTTACATTCATGCAGCCTGCGCTTCATTTACATGTATTCTTCACTGTGGACGGACCAGACAACCAAACGGGTCCTCTGCATTCACTCATAACGTGCAGAACACGTTCATTTGCCTCCTCCTTCATGCATCAGATGGTGTTTATTTTTGAACGTCTACGTGTCAGAAAGTGCCCTTCTGGTTCCTGGTATTCATAAACGGTATCGCTACTGAAACGACTGAGATCTGTCAAAGTTATTTATTATCTACTTTTTTTTTAATCGCATGTTGCCAGTTTGGTCGCACTCGAGTTATCTGAGCTGCTGCGATGAAACATCAGAGCTGTTGAATATTCCTTTAGATATTGTTATGCAGTTTCATAAAATAAGTTAAAAATAAAACGCAACACGCACACAGTGTGTGTGTGTATACATACCTACACATGTATAGAGTAAGTTATTTTTTATATGTTGGACGGAGTGTAAAATATCGAACATTTGGAGAACCAAATCCAGTTGTGTTGATGCTGTTTTGTGTTTATCGCTGCTGCTGTATATTGAAATATATATATATATATATATATATATTGTGAAATAAAAGCGCATTCAAGCTTTTAAAAGTCTCACATGGTGTTATTTTATTCAACGGATGTCAAATCTTTACTGGCTGTTATTAAAACGTTAAGCATTACCTGTGATCGTTGTTCCTTTGTAACAGGAAGACGTCATCAACAGGTTCTTATAAAGTGAACAGGAAGGATACCGTGGTTGTCCTCTTCTCATGAAAAAAAAAAAAAACTTTTTCCATCACTTTCCATAATTACCTCGCTGACAGCTGTCAAGTCAGCCGCGGTAAAGTTTGATCGACCCGCATTCGATGAGGCCGACTGACAATTACAAACTAGCAGCTAATCAGGCCGACGTTGACCCACGAGAGGCGTCTTTCTTTAGAGGGACGGTCAAAAGACGTGCAAGGGCTAAGAACACCACGTACCACAGCGCCTTCATAGAAAATCTAAACCTGTTAAATTGACTTAAAGTCAGACAGCGTTACCTGCTCGTGCATGACAACATTTACACTAAATAGAATTCACATTTTACTGCAGATGCCTTTTTGTTTCATCTTCTTATTGTCAAAATGCACAGAAACTGGTCCTTTGAATGGAGGTGTGAGTGGAAAGTTTACCACCAGCAGTGACAAACAGGAAGGTAGTGTGTGTGTGTGCGCGTGTGTGTGTGTGTGTGTCTGTCGCAGCAGGAGTGGCCTTGTTTCTTTCCTTCTGTAACTTCTCTGCAGGTCACCCAGCCGTCGTCTCTTCTTGCGTCTCGACTTCGCGGTGATGAAGATCTTTTTCCCCCTCGTCTGCATCGACGGCCCCGAGGAGTCTGCCGTGTGGGTAAGAAGTACATGTGTGTGTGTGGGAGGTGTTAACAGCTCCTAAGAGAGAAATGCGACTACAACAAAGAGGAAAGTGTGTATTTATCTGTTTGGTTTGTGTGTCTGTCTGTGGTAGATGAAGAGGTGGAGAGAGACAGACGGCTGATGGATGAATGATCCACACGGTGAAGGATCTCTGGATCACCACATGCTTTTGGATCGGCCTGGTGAAGGTTTCAGCGTCTCCATCCGTGTACTTTATCCGGAGAGGACGGCCCCCTCGGAGACGGGATTCACACGATGCCGTGTGAGCGGGTTTACCTTCAGAAAATGAGCTTGGAGGTTAATTTAGTTTAAATGAAACGGGATTATTCATTTTTGTATCTTGTATCTTCCTACAAACAGACACCTAGAGGCAAACCTTTTTTTTAAATGGAGGAAATTAAATTGTATAGCAAACAAAAATCCATTTTGTTACTTTTCTAAAAGGATCAATTTGGTTTCGCGCCCAAATCCCAATCGTCCATTGAAAATATTTGATATTATCGATGCTACATCATTTTAGACAGAAGTAATATTTCTTTAACTCATTCAAACACATTAGGGTTTTTTAAAATGTCACCTTTGTGCATCTGAACATTTGATTGAAAGCGTTTAACGGAGTGTTCTTTGTCTCGTCAGAGGAGGTCCGTCATCCCCGAGCAGCCACAAGGTGATTCACCTGCTTTTGAGCGCTTGTTTTTCGAGGACTGTCCGACCTGAGAATTGTGATCTCGGGCTCAATCTCAGGTTCGTCAGCCCACGGAAAGCCGACTCGCCTCAGCAGACGGGAAAAAGTTCATTTGGAAGATGTTTTTTTGGTATTATAAAAATCAAGGTTTATATTGTTCGCTCAACAGACAATTATCACAATTTATCTATTTGGACTTGGCCAACTTCAGCAAGAGCAAGATGGATGGAAGATAAGTGATTGTAATACTTGCACGAAGCAAGATTTTAATAGCAATACTAGGACAAAGATAAGTAGTGATGGTAATACGAGGACAAAGCTAAATAGTGATACGAGCATAAGGATAGGTAGTAATTGCCAAACTGCTTGTTCCTTCTCACTGAGAGCAAAACACTGGACCAGATCAGGTCTCTTTGCTGTCCTGCTCCAGAATGGTGGAACGAGCTCTGTGAAGACATCGGGGCCGCATAGAACCTTCATTGTAGCACCGAAATTGTACTTAATGGCAAGTTGTAAATCGGCTTATTTAATGAAATTGCACTTTCTTGTTTCTGGCTCTTTTGAGTTTGTATCTTTATGGTTAAAATGCACTTATTGTAAGTCGCTTTGGATAAAAGCGGCTAAATGACATGTAGGCCTAATGTAATCGTAATTGTAATAATAACATAACGCTAGATAGTAATTGTAATACTAGCATAAAGCTAAATCGTGATGGTAATAATAGCTTAAAGCTAAATAGTGATGGTAATAATAGCTTAAAGCTAAATAGTGATGGTAGGACTAGCTTAAAGCTAAATAGTGTTGGTAGGACTAGCTTAAAGCTAAATAGTGATGGTAGGACTAGCTTAAAGCTAAATAGTGATGGTAGGACTAGCTTAAAGCTAAATAGTGATGGTAGGACTAGCTTAAAGCTAAATTGTGATGGTAGGACTAGCTTAAAGCTAAATAGTGATGGTAATACTAGCTTAAAGCTAAATAGTGATGGTAGGACTAGCTTAAAGCTAAATAGTGATGGTAATAATAGCTTAAAGCTAAATAGTGATGGTAGGACTAGCTTAAAGCTAAATAGTGTTGGTAGGACTAGCTTAAAGCTAAATAGTGATGGTAATACTAGCTTAAAGCTAAATAGTGATGGTAGGACTAGCTTAAAGCTAAATTGTGATGGTAATAATAGCTTAAAGCTAAATAGTGATGGTAGGACTAGCTTAAAGCTAAATAGTGATGGTAGGACTAGCTTAAAGCTAAATAGTGATGGTAATAATAGCTTAAAGCTAAATAGTGATGGTAGGACTAGCTTAAAGCTAAATAGTGATGGTAATACTAGCTTAAAGCTAAATAGTGATGGTAATACTAGCTTAAAGCTAAATAGTGATGGTAATACTAGCTTAAAGCTAAATAGTGATGGTAATACTAGCTTAAAGCTAGATAGTAATTGTAATACTAGCATAAAGCTAAATAGTGATATAAATACTAGCTTATAGCGGGATAGTAATAGTATTACTATCACAAAGATAGATAGTGATAATAACACTATTTAGTGTTAGGGTTATTAGCTTTAGTTTAAGCAAAATATGCATAATGTAGTACTAGTACCAGGAGTAGTAAAACAGAGGGGTAATGCACAAGGAGTATTTTGGGATGGGTAAATGTTCCCTAGTTTAAAACCAGAGAGAAACTTATTTATTTACGGTTATTTTTGCCGGCTTCAGCCGCAGGTTGTTCAGGAAACCAAACTAAGGGGTTTGAATACAGAAGGTGACACAAACACACGCGTGGCTTGTTCGGCCGTAAGTAGCTGCGGCCTTGTTTTTTTCGCACTTCATCAACTGCGAAAACTATGAAAGTTTTCGTTGGTTGAATTTCCCCCGACTTTACTGCCTAAGTATAAATGTCCAGCTCCTTTGTAATGACTGAATCAAGGTGAATACTGCACATCAGCACAATGGAGCAACGGAAACACACTCTTATTAACTCAAGTGGCAATAAAAGCCAGTGAATGTTTGTACCCAGTTTGCTGCGATGAGCTGTTCCTCACGGCCAGTAGAGGGAGCGGTGTTCACACCGAACACACGAGTCCACCCATCATTCATCACTTATGATCATCAAGCTCAATGTGGACATATATACATGAAGTATACTCATACTGGTTTACTGTATCGGACAATTTAACACAAAAGGTGCAATGCTGTGTTGTACTCATTTTTATGGGAAACGTTTACTTGGTATTTTGATGTTCACACGCTGTAGCTTTATATTTTATTTGGTTTATTTTTATTTATTATTTTATTAATCACTTAATTGTTGACTATTCTGTGAGCAACAGGAATCATATACGTACACAGAATGAACTGTCATTTAACAACAATATTTAAGATCAATGTAATTCAAATTGACTGAATCATCTTGGATTAAAGCAAATCTTAAAATAGAATCTAAAACATATAAAACACATTAAAAAAGTAAAATAATGAATTCATTTAGATTTAGCTTTTAAGTGCACAAATACATTTAGGTTTTTTACTTTAGTTCTATTTAAAAGGTAATAAAATAATCTGAAGATAAAATGTCGGATGCATCTCAAACTTTGAAAAAACCTTTTTTGGACAAAGAAAATTTTTAGATTTTCCATTCATCAAAAGAAATCCAGAGAAAATAACAAAGTGGCATTCAACCCCAGGAAGAAGGAAACCAACCCTGATGTTAACCCTAGAAATATATATGAATATTTACATCTGTTATGTTTACACACATGCAAAATAATACAGATTTGTCACATTAAGACACTAGTGAGATCTAACGCCACTGGAGTTTCTCCAGAATCCAGCATTATTATCTATTCCGATCATCAGACACATTTTAGTCAAAATCTGTTTGTTTTTTAAATGATCATTTTTGACGTTCCGCAATTTCTCTATCCATGAATCGCTACGTGATTCTGTTGAAAGACAATAAATGAAAGTAGAGAACGATCACCTGGTCCCGTAGCTGTTTTAAATTCCCTTCCACTATCGCCAACTATCCAACAACGTGTTGTTATTTTTGTTTCCATAGCAACCACTAAATCGCCGTATCTTTACGCTGGTTTTCAGGGTAATTTTGTTACAATCACACATATTGTCGCACGCTTCCTGTTGTCTGTGAAAAAAGAGGAAAATGACCAGAGGAGTGTGCGACCCCCGGTGACCTTTCTTTCACCGGGGTCAAGGGCCAGATTGGGATCCAGCTCTCTGTGGAGGGATTAAAACACTGTCGCCGCGGCAACCAGAATGGCCGGGGTCCCGTGGGCGAACTGACTCTTAGATGATATCACACACAGTATTTTATCTGATGGGTGAGTGGCAACAGGTTTTTTTTTACTCTGTTTGTCTCAAATCATATTTTAAATGTTTAATTCAGCAGTCGAGGTCAGATTACGTCCTGGAAGAAAAAGGAACGGTGCTTGACATAAAATACATGAATCTGTATTAATGTCTCAATGACTGGTTCATTTGAGCTTAAATTTGTACGTAAAGGT